TTAGCGAATATAAGGTTAAAAATTAGGGCAGTCTGACACTCCAAGAATCGAAAACCGATTTTCTAATTTTACTCACAAATAATAGCCTTCTAGCGGGAGCAATCTACGTTAGGTTTCTTATCAACCTAAAAGCTGTCTATGAACAAAAAATGGAAGAAATTTATTTTTCAACTCTTGCCACGAAATTAAGATTTTGGTCGATTTTTCCTGACCGTCGCTCTTAAGTACATTTAAATAGTCGCAAAATATGTCCAGAATGCCACCAAGCTTGTTTTTCATCAGTTTTGAAGTGCGCAAACAAAAAATTTTCATGTTTAATTCTAACCCATTTTTGTAACATTTTCTGCAAATCTTTTTCTTGGCTTATTTCGCTAAGTTCAAACTTTGGGTTACGCGCATCCGGGAAAAAACCAAAAAACCTTTCATTTTATCTGAATAGTCCAGAATGTCGTCAAGCTCGTTTTTAGACAGTTTTTAAGTGCGCAGACCAAAAAGTTTCATGTTTAATCTAAATCGACTTTTGGAAAATATTTCTAAGAAAGTCTTTTTGGGCCTCTTTCGCTAAGTTCAAATTTTTGATTACGCCCATGCGGAAAAAAGAGAAAAAAACCTTCAATTAAATGTAACTAGTCGCAGGATTATTAGACAGTTTCGAAGTCTGCAAAGAAGAGGTTTTCATGTTTAATCTATACCGACCTTTGTTAATGTTTTCTAGGAAATCTTTTTGGCCCTATTCTGGTAAGTTCAAATTTTGCGTTACGTACATCCTAAAGAGGAAGAAAAGACTTTAAATTACCTTTGAATAGTCGCACATTATGTCCAGAATGTCGAAAAGCTCAATTTTAGACAGTGTCGGAGTGTGCAAACAAGAAATTTTCATGTTTAATCCTAACCCATTTTTGGCAACATTTCCTAGAAATCTGTTTTCAGGCTTATTTTATCAAGTTCAAATTTTGGTTTAGATTAAACATGAAAATTTCTTGTTTGCGCACTTAAAAAAACTGTCTACAAACGAGCTTGACGACATTCAGTACATATTCTGCGACTATTTAAATGTAATTAAAGGTTTTTCCGCTTTTCCGGGATGCGAGTAACCCAAAATTTCCACTTTACCGTATCTTTTCAGAGTTGATTAGCAATCCATAGGCAGGATTGACAAGATGCTGTTGAGTTCTTCAAAATCTTGTCTAAGATCCTATAGTATCTTGACTAAAGTTAAAAACGATTTTATAGGATTCTGTCTCGGATTCTGTGATATCCTGTAGGAAGTTGTATGATTCCACTCTTTAAAACTTTAGAGTGCTTTGGAGTCCTTTCATGCTTGTCTAAGATCCCATACCCATCCCATATAATCCTGTATGATCTTATAGGAATCTCTAGGATACTGTAGGATCCTGTGTACTGCAGGATATTTTCCGGAACTGATTAAGATTCCATAGAATTCCTGTAAGATCTTGTAGGATTGCATAGGATCTTATCTACTATCCTGCAGGATCTTCTCAAGATTTAATAAGGATTCCATAGGATCGTGAGCTCGTTCAAAATCTTCTCTAAGATCCCATACTCTCTTGACTAAAATAAAAAAAAGATTGTATTCCATTTTGTCGAGGACGCTGTGAGATCCTGTAGGATGTTGTATGATTCCACTGTTCTCCAAATTTGATAAGCATTGCATAGGATCTTTCTTAAACCTTCTCTTTGCATTAACCTGCTTAAATAAGCTCTTGTATAATTCTTAACTAAAAGGTCTGGATAATATCAGGCAAGTAACTCTTTTGAAGAAATGGACAACAACTTTAAGTTTAAAACAAGACATGTTTTGATCGTTTAACGATCATCTTCAGTTGTGAATTCGTTTGTAAGTTCGGTTGAATTAATTCAAGCAATAACGTATAAGTTAAAACGTGATACAAATCAAAATTTCGAAAATTAAAATTAACGTACAATTTTAAGATAAGCGAGACGTGGAATAACATCTGCGCGAGCACTACACTTAAGACAAGGAAGAAAATTGTAAAAATTGAAATAATTTCAATGGTTATAACACAAAATGTTATACATATATATAAAATAAACTTAAAGGATGATATAAGAACGAGAGAGTTAAGTCACCATGTTTCAGCTGCTTGTTTAAAATGAGATTCTCCCACTTGATGTGCATCGCCTCCTTCAACATAAGTTGTAGTCTGTTGGGTGCATAATCCACGATGGAACAGCAATTCTTATTAGCTAGACAACGACATGCCTAGGATTGCTGCAAATGCTGATAAACGTGTGAACTCCTATCCCTGCTCAGATGCTCATGAACGCGCGTCGAGAGATGTCGGCTATTCTTAACTAATTTCTTAGGTTCCTGTCTACGATGCTATAGCATCTTGTCTGGAATTCTTCAGGATTCATAGGATTTTGTTTAGGATCCTATACGATCTTATAGGATTCTCTAGGATCCTGTAGGATTTCATATGATCATGTCTATAATACTGTAGCATATTTTCCAGAACTGATTAAGGTTTCCATAGCTTGATTGAAACGATGCTTCTGAGTCACTCGAAATCTTGTCTAAGATCCCACAGTATGTTGACTAAAATCAATAACAATTTTATAGGATTTTGTCTTGGATTCTGTAAGATCCTATAAGATTTTGTATGATTTCACTGTTTAAAATTTTCCAGAGTGAATTGGAGTCCTTTCATGCCTAAAATGATCCCATACCTATCCCATAGGACCCTGCACGATCTTATAGGATTCTCTAGGATACTGTAGGATCCTGTAGGATTTTATATGATCTTGTCTATAATACTGTGGGATCTTTTCCAGAACTGATTAAGATTCCATTGAATTCCTGTGGGATCTAGTACGATTGCATAGGATCTTGTCTATTATCCTGCACGATTTGTCCAGATTTGATAAGGATTCCATAGGATCTTTCTTAAACCTTCTCTTTGCATTAATCTGCCAAAATAAGCCCTTTTATCTTTCTTAACTAAATTCTTAGCTTCTTGTCTAAGATGCTATAGTATCTCCTCTAGAATTGTTAAGAATTCCATAGAATTTTGTTTACGATCTTGTACGGTCTTATAGGAATCTCTAGGACCCTATAGGATTTCAAATGATCTTGTCTATAAAGCACTGGGATTTTTTTTTCAGAGTTCATTAGTATACCCCTAAGGCCGAATTAACAGGATGCTGTTGAGTCGTTCAATATCTTGTCTAAGATCCCATAGTATCTTGATCAAAATTAATAACGCTTTAATGGGACTTTGGTAGGATCCTGTGAGATCTTTTAGGATCTTGTAAGATTCCACTGTTTACAATTTTACAAAGTGCTGTGGGCTCCTTTCATGCTTGTCTAAGATCCTATACGCATCCCATAGGATCCTGTACGATCTTACTGGATTCTCTAGGATACTGTAGGATCCTGTGGGAGTTCATATGGTCTTCTGTATAATACTGTACGATCTTTTCAAGAACTGATTAAGATTCCATAGAATTATCGTAGGACCTTGTAAGATTGCATAGGATTTTGTCTGTTATCCTGAAGGATCTTTCACAGATTTAATAAGGATTCCATAGAATCTTTCTTAAGAGCGGCCGTCCGTAAATATCGCCTGGGGGCGTGCAAAATGAAAAAATCGAAAATCCCCAAACTTTGTCAGAATATAGCTCTAGGTAAACTATTTCTAGAAAAATAACTTTCAGTTCGATTAGATTTTTCTTTTACGCGTGCGGCGACCGAGTCGGTTCGGGGGCTCACATGTTAGGTTTCACCGGCTAAAGGCAGTGCATTACTTAAAAATCATTTAAAAATTAAAGAAGAAACAAACTCTGCTTCTCAAAACCTTTATAGTAAGAGTGCAAATTAAATAATATTTTCAATGTGAAATTTTCCTATTCGACAACAAACTGGATATTTTTCAGATTTTTAATTATTTTACCTAATTTGCTTATTTTTGACAGACAAAATATTGACAAAATTCGGACTCAAAAATCACTTCTTGGTATACGGCTTTGAGGCATAACTTTCCTACAGATAGAAAGAGCAAGGTGTCTTCCTCAAATTAATGCAATAAAATTTTTGGGCAATCCAACGGGGAAAATATTCCAGCGCCAAATGAAAGTTGCCCTTGAGGTCAAATTCACGCCACTTTTGTCACGGTATTCCAAGGTGTTAAATCAACAAAAATGCTCTTTGGGGCAAAGAATGGCCAAAATCCCCCAAATCTCTTTCAAACGGAACAATACTTATTATTTTCGACCTATCTGCATCTGTTTCGCCAGTTTTTTTTACTTAAATGAACCCGTTAACAGTCAAAATCCGTTTGCTGTTCAATGAATTAACAGCCGTGAACGGCACAGATCAACACGTTTCAATACTGACTATCCATTGCTCATTTAAAAAGAACAATTTAGCCCACGTCAGCTTACATAAGGATATATGACTAAATATATTACTTATCTGTCAAAAACTGAAGAGGTATTGGAAATAAAACCGCTAAATACACGTTCTCTTCACATCCGTTGCGGAGCAATAGGACAATGCGTTACACACAGCTGTGGGGACTTGGGAGAGGAATGTCAGTTGTATGGGTGTGGGGTAAGTCAGATTTGTGCTGCACAATGCAATAAACCCTCCCTGAAACTAAACAATGATCAAATTGAAAATGATAAATCAGGGGGCTGATCAAAAGTAAAACGGACTGATTGCGAAACTTTAGAAACGCAAAAAATATATAGCACCAGGACCAGATACCACATGTGCTGTCTGCTCGAAGAGCAGGAGAGAGAACCTGGGAACGAGGTTGTTGTCTGCTATCTTGGGTTATCTCGTCTGCTGATCTTGAAATATTTACTTTAAGTCTAAAAATGCTTTCAGATAAATCAGATAAGAAAAACTCCACCCTAAAAAATTTTTTCAAAGTAAACGTGTGATAGTTGACTAATTCTTAGAGCCAGTACCAAAGCCACCTTGCTTCCGAGTTGAAGCCAACACTCGTTGACGTATGGCATCGTGTGGATATTCTACGTTTGTTGGAGGGCCCTGTGGAGCTAGCCCTTCAAATCCTGCTGATGCAACGTGTGTAGCACTAGACAAATGCACAAAAGACGTCAAGTCTCACTTAAACCAATATGACTGCTTTGATTCGTCCTTGAAAACGGAAGCAGATCTTCTTCTCGCAAGAGCAGGTAACTGATTTGCACTGTAAATAAATAAAGCCTTTCCGATGAGTTGATCAAGTTGATGCACTTTCACTGCTTGTTATTATATGTCATTCGTTTTATTTTATTTTATTCATTAATATTAATTTGTTTATGCGTGGCACGGCAACTCGAAAGACCTCTCAAAGGCAGCAACGTAGTTCCGGAATTTGACTTACTAACTTTTGATACTAACAGCTAACACATTTTGCGATTACCACAGGATTGCTACATGAATTCACTGCGGCTTCTTTATACATTTTGTTTCAGGGATTTTCGAAGTCGATGATAACCATATTAAAATGTCGATTTGTCCACGACATCGAGACGCCTTTGGTATACGATGGCGTAGCGGCAAAAGAACATGTTCGGCTCCAAAAGACTGGGCGGCGCATAAGAGTAAACAAGTCAAGGGAGATCGGGGTATCACCCTACCACAATGTAAAAGGATCTTTAGGCTCACTTCAGTGCTTGTTCCAGTTGCGTCTCGTAAGTAATAAAGATAATGCTAAGAACTGCACAATCCTCTAGTCCCTGGGAGCTGTGTATGCAGTCGAAAGAAACCCGGCTAGATGTTAAGTCTGGTCTGTGGCGTAGGCTGGGGACTGGTACTTAAAATTTGGACACAATTAGCTGCCATGAACAAAAGGCTTTATGACCAAATCCTAACTCGATGGGGATCAAATGCATGTCTAAATCAGTGATTAAAACCACATTCGCTGTGTTACAGACACCAACCAAATTTGCAGTGATTATGGAGATTCCACTGCATTATTTCACGAAGGCTGAAATGCATATTCCGCAGATTTTATCGCTGAATAAAGAAGATGGGAAATGTACTTATGAGTTGTTATTTTTCTGTTTTAATTTTAGCCATTTGTAAAAAATGTCGGCTGGTGCTTGCATCAGGGGCACCTTCATCCCCGTGTGAAACAAAAGAAGATGCCCCCCCTGCAATCGCAAAAGAGAAACAAGACGTCTGCACATCATTTACTTCATCACCGTCCATTACAAAAGAGGATGTTTCTTTCAAAGTCCAACAAGCAAAGGCAAAGGCAAAGGTCTTGTCAGTTGTTGACACTGACGAAACTGACTCGGTAATATATTATTATCATCAGAATCAGAGACAGGATTTGGAATTGAAACAGTTTTCAAATGGCTCCTTCTTGGGACCTCAACGAAAAAAAACCACATGCACACAAAGAAACAGATGGAGGAAGGAGGATTGTTTTAAATTAGATCTGCAATTTGTTTTGCAGTTCAAAACATGTAGAATTAAATCGATGACTAAATTTTTTTTTAAAAATAAAAGCTACAGTTTTCATCATCTTCATCATTATCATCGGCCCAATCATCATCATTGTCATTATTTTGTATTACTGTTATAGTCGCTTATAGCTTCTTAACTCCATATATTATTTTATTATTCTCTTTCTTAATTTGGCTTTCTCTTTTCTTCTTTTCTCTTTTATATTTCAGGACAATGAAAGTACCTCTGGTTTAAGTCAAGCCATGAAAAACCTCGAACTTGTTTCGTTCGACAGTAGCCCTTACGCTACAGAAAGTACCGGCAGCAGCAGCGGTAGTGCGAATGATTCATCAATCGAAAACCAAACGCTTCGTCGCTTAAAGCTGAATGAATTTCTAAGTGTATGTGGCAGGGAAACTGTGAATCAACCGAAAAAAAGTTGGGAGCAACTAAGCACGCGAACTAAAAATGTTCGCGTATCTAAAGCAAAAGATGCTGTCGTTGCGTCGTTAGAGGTCATTTCTCCTGGAAACCCGGCAGCCCTATGGGAAGCAATGAAAAGCTTACAGTCTGTAGAAAAAGCCTTGGGCACAGAAAATCAATCTCCGTTGGATAAGAAGTACCTGGAAGCGTTAGCAGAGACCTATCAGAATGCAAGTAGTTGGGACACCCGCCGACAGGTGTTGTCAATAATGGCTGATTTGACACCGTACTCTGTTTTGCAGCAATTTATTCCTGGCATCACCGACTACAGAATCAAAGTAGCTCGCCAACATTCCATCGAGCATGGACGCGGTGTTCCCTTGCCTGCCGCCAAGAGCCCTAGACTCAGGGTAGACGAAATCCAGCTCGATCATTTTTTAAGCTTCATTACCAGTCCCCACGTGGTCCAAGATCTACCGTTTGGCCAACGCTACCTGTACCTATCAAACGGCAAGGTACTCGAAACACCTAATGTGATAAGGTCCATGATACCACAGCGCATAATTGATCAGTATAACCAGTTCTGCTTGGAGACGAATTTTTCTCCGTTCAGCCCGTCCACAATGTTACGAATATTGTCATCGTGTACCGCTACAGTAAGAAAGTCACTTCAAGGACTAGACTACTTTGCCGCTGAAGGAGCAAAAGCCTTTACAGTCAAACCAAGTCAAGCGTACCCCCCAAGATTCTATCAGTGAATTGATTATTTGAAAAATGAATCCATTAGCCGTTCCCGTAACTGGCGTCAAATTCAAAGCGGCATTTCTGCATGCGTAATGAGCATTGAATATTTTACGAGAACTTCTCTGTATTTGGTCAGATTGGAAATCTTTGAATGGATTAAGCTTCTTAGAAGAAATTTACATCAATTTCAGGAAAATGGAGCTAGTAGAAATTTCATAACTGCCTCGCGTGTGAATTCACGGCTCATTACACATACAAGAATGCAGAGATCAATCTGAAATCTACAACTAGCAATAGATTCAACTTTTGAATAATAAATTCATTAATGCATTCTTGGGGGGTACACTTGACCTGGTTTGACTGTAACGATTTGCTAAAATTAGTTGCAAGGACTGGAGACAGACAGTGGGTCGTTAGATGCGAGCAAGCTCTGAAAGAGGGAAAACAGTATTTGAAAACCGACTACAAGGTAGATATTTTAGAACCATTCATAATATAAACACTGAAAGGGTAATCACATAAAAGAAATAAATATGCAAAGGCGATCAGTTGAACCCTTAAAAATTATTGTAGCTATGCCTACCTTTTATGCTTAGTTACCCCTTTTATACTATTAAATAAATTTAATTGTATGACCGCAGTAAAAGATGTGTGATAAATCGTGTCTAGTTCTTTGGCCAATCATAGGTTGATGATTTCTTCTTTAAGATGTCGAATTCAAAATTTACCCAGAAATTTCAAAAACACAATGAAGAAATTCTTCTTTGTAGATATAGCTCATTATTTTTGTTCTGACTACTTTCTCGCAGGTTCATATCACCAGAGCATCCAGTATCCCCGACCACTGTAGTGCGTACGCCCTAACTGATACAAAAGAAGAGTGTCTTCGAGAAATGTGTGACCACGCCCACGACAAGAGTTGTCCCTTTTGTGATCGGCTGAAAGACACTTTAAAAGAAATTGAGTTGAATTTGATCGAAGCGAACCTGGATGAAGAAGACCGGGATGACGTCATGTACTCGTTTCAGCAAGCTTATACAGCAATAGAAGCTTGGAAGGCTCATCAACTGAGATCTATTCAACAGGATAAGGCCCGCTTAAACATCATAGATACCCTGGCAGAAAGTTCAGTGTTAATCACTCAAGACTGGGCGATGAAATTCTTGCCCCGAAAGTACCGGGAAACCCAAGCCGACTGGTTTGCTAAAAGAGGAATCTCTTGGCATATCAGTACCGTCGTACGTCGAAAGGGAAACCTGCAACACCAAGCATTTGTCCACATTGCGAAGAATTGTAACCAAGACAGTGACGCGGTGGTAAGCGTTTTACGCCACACCTTGCAGCAGCTCAAAATTGACCATCCTGAAACAACAACTGCCTTTCTCCGCCAGGACAATGCTGGATGTTATCACAGTGTAGCCATGTTAGCTGCCTGTGGACTTATGGAGAAAGCAACGGGAATTAAAGTAGAAAGAGTTGATTTTAGCGACCCGCAAGGCGGTAAGGGGCCCTGTGACAGAAAGGCGGCCACAATTAAAGCTCACGTTTTAAGGTATCTCAACGAAGGTCACGATGTGGTCACTGCAGAAGACTTCCGAGATGCAATGCTCTCTCATGGTGGTGTTAGAGGTGTTCGGGTGGCTTTGATCGACATGTCCATCGTGCGTCCAACGTCTCTGCGTGGGAAATTAGAGGGAGTTAGCAGCCTTAACAACTTCTATCTGGGAGACCGAGAGCTCACAGCGTGGAAAGCATTTGACGTGGGTAAAGGAAAGAAAGTACCATGGACACAACTGGAAGGTCAGACATCTTAGAAGCTATAGATAACTAACTCATAATTTGGGCACTAGTTTTGTTATAACGTAGCGTAACTGAATAGACATCAATGCGAACTACAAGAGATAGCTGCAACGCTGTTAATTTTAAAGTAGGTTGAGAACTGTTGTAATTTCAGCATGCCCATTCACTAGGCTTAAAAAGGTAACTACACAATACTTTTGAAGTAACGTTTGTTTTAGTGAGATTGAGCATCCATAATCCGCTACTGAAGTTTTTTGATAAAAAATTCTGAAGGCCTTTCTCTTTTAATATTTTTTTCTTTCGTTATTTAGTTGAAATAGGCCCGCTAGAGGAACCAGTTTTCACACATTGTTCATTTTCCCAAGGAGACTTTCAAGATGTCTCTTCATGTGACAACGCCCAGGCCTCTAATAATAGAAAGGAAGAGTCGCCGACAAAAGAGGAAAGTGTTGTTTCCGCTGACCACGAAAGCCCGCTCTTTTATTGTCCAGTGGAGGGATGCGTAAGCACCTTTCAGCGCCACTATAATCTTGAGCGCCACTTGCATTATGAAAAATGCCAGTTTCTCGAGGAGAAACACAGCCTCTTAGACAAGGCGAAGATGATGTACTTCGAAAAACTCGAAGAAGGTGCCAGTGCACAGCCTTTTGTAGCGGGCTCAGTTGTGGTAGAAAAGAGGGCGGGGCATCTGCTATCACCGGGTTGGGCCCTACGTTCAACTAAAAAAAGTTCTAGATTCAATTTCAAGCAGAAGAATTACTTAAACGAAAAGTTTAAGATCGGTGAACAAACTGGACATAAAACAGACCCGGAAGACGTGGCTAGAGATATGAGGCACGCAAAAGAAGAAGATGGCAGCCGCATGTTCACACCAGCTGAATTCCTTTCACCTCAGCAAATTAAATCCTATTTTTCAAGAGCTGCAGCGAAGTTACGTCAGTCCGAAAGTTGCGATGATGCTGATGAGTGCGATGTTCAAGCCGTTGAAGAGGAAGATGTATACTCTTCTGTGCGCACTCATATAATCCAGGAATGCCAGCTTGTTCATCCAGTCATGTATGACACGTACAATCTGTGTGAAATGTGCGAACAAAGGAAACTGACCAAGCTCAGCGTGTCAATGTTGCGTTTAATATGCTGTTATTTTGATCTGAAGTGCGAAGGTGTTTCACTGAAACGTAAAGCACCTTACGTAAAATTGATTGAGGACCTTGTAAAATCGTGCTCCTGCAACTAATATTATTATTGAAACTTGGGTGTCTGGACTAATACGGAAACATTCACAGCTCCTACTCCGTCCACCTACTCACTCAAATTTCCCACTACAGTATTATTCCAGTTTAATTGCATAATAACAGATAATTAGCATGTCGATACAAAAATAAAATTAATTAATTACAAAAGTACCCTCTTAAATTAGTCCACTGAAACGCAGGATTGTCTCTCGGCTTGTGCGCCTGCGGAGGTAGGGTAGAGCAGTGAGTAGGGATACGGAATTGGGATTATGGATGTTTTCATGTCTTCGATTACTCGCCAGAAAAGGTATAGGGGGAACAAAAGTTTCAGCTAATTAAGAATACGACATATGCCAGGTATCCTTACCTGTACAAGTCGTTTAAACCTTAAATCGCTCAATAGTAAGCTTCCGGTTTGAGGTGCATTACCTGCGCCCCTGTGTCACGAAATTGTGACATTCCGTGAAGTACAAGTACTCGATCGGTAACTCGAAATGCATAGGATGGAAGCCTGTTTGTATACATTGAATCAGCTTTAAAATGGGTAGGTGTATAACTAGTTAGTCTCATATAATGAAAGGAACAATTATTGTTTAATCGTGCGTGAAATATTTTAAGTTCTGGAAAACTATGAAGTTTGAAACGTTTCTCAGTCGGGAGCAATAACTAAGAATTTAGATATTGCAAGTCGATCGCAAATGTCACCTGTTAGCAAACGGTTTCCAATAAAATGAACAATAGAAATCATACAGCTACTTAAAAAGCAAACCTTCTTGGCAAATACAAGGCGTTCTGTGCTACAAAGCGCAAAAATATTTTAAATAACGAGAGTATTGTTGTTTTTGCCCTTCGAATGTCGTGACAAAATGGCGTGTTTTGACCTCAACGGTCGCTTTTGTTCGGCGCTCAAAACATTTTGCCTTTTGGATTGCCCAAGAATTTTATTACATTTATGTGAAGAAGACACCTTTCTCTTTCTATTGGTAGGAAAGGTATGGTCCAAAGCTGTATACCAAGGAGTGATTTTCGAGTCTGAAGTTTTGCTATTTTTTGTCCGTGAAAAATGGGCAAAATAAGTAAAATAATTAAAAATCTAAAAAATATTTAATTTGCCGTCGAATAGGAAAATTTTACATCAAAACAATTGTTTAAGTTGAGCTCTTTTTGGTACGATTCCCAGAAGCAGAATTTGTTTCCTCTTTAATTTTTAAACGATTTTTAAGTAATATATGGTCATTAGCCCCTGAGAACTGCCGTGTGAGCTTCCGAACCGACTCGGTCGCAGCACGCGTAAAAGAAAAATCTAATCGAACTAAAAGTTATTTTTCTAGAAATAGTTCACCTAGGGCTATATTCTGACAAAGTTTGGGGATTTTCGATTTTTTCATTTTGCACGCCCCCAGGCGATATTTACGGACGGCCGCTCTTAAACCTTCTCTTTGTATTAACCTGATCAAATAAGCAATTGTATATTTCTTAACTAAATTCGTACGTTCCTTGTCTGAGATGCTATAGCATCTTCTCTAGACTTGTTGAAGATTCCATAGAATTTTGTCTAGGATCCTTTACGATGTTATAGGATTCTCTAGTATACTGTACGATTTAATATGATCCTGGCTATAATACTGTAGGAACGTTCACAGAGTTAAGTAGGATTCCAAAGCAGGAAAAACAGGATTCTTTTGAGTCGTTCAAAATCTTGTCTAAGATCCCATAGTATCTTGACTAAAATTAATAATCATCTCATAGGATTTTGTCTGGGATCCTGTGAGATCCTGTAGGATCTTCTAAGATTTTTAAAGAGTGCTGTGGAGTCCTTTCCTGCTTGTCTAAGATTCCATACCCATCCCATAGGATCCTGTACGATCTTATAGGATTCTCTAGGATAATGTAGGATCCTGTGGGATTTCATATAATCTTGTCTATAATACTGTAGGATCTTTTCCAGAATTGATTAAGATTCCACAGAATTCCTGTAGGATCTTGTAAGATTGCATAGGATCTTGTCTATTATCCTGCAGGATCTTGTCCAGATTTGATAAGGATTCCGTAGGATCCTACTTAAACCTTCCCTTTTTATTAACCTGCTCAAAATGGCACTTGTATATTTCATGACTAAGATGCTATAGTATCTTGTCTAGAATTGTTGAGGATACTATAGGATTTATTTAGGATTGGCAAGAATCCTATTGACAATTACTACTGGAATCTTGGCAAGAATCCTGTTGACAATTAATACTGGAATCTTGGCAAGAATCCTGGTAAGAATTACTACGGGAGTCCTAGCAAGAATCTTGGTAAGATTTACTACCGGAATCTTGGCAAGAATCTTGGGAAGAATTATTAGGGGATCTTGGCTAGAATCTTGGTAAGATTTACTACGGGAATCTTGGCAAAAATCTTGGAAAGAATAACTACGGGACTCATGACAAGAATCCTGGAAAGATTACTACGGGAATCTTGGTACGAATCTTGGTAAGAATTATTAAGGGAATTTTGGCAAAAACCTTGGTAACATTTACTATAAGAATATTGGCGAGAATCTTGGTAAGAATAACTACGGGAATATTAGCAAGAATCTTGGTAAGAATTACTACGGGAATCTTGGTAAGAATTACTACGGGAATCTTGGCAAGAATCTTGGTAGATTTACTAGGGGAGTCTTAGTAAAAATCTTGGTAAGAATTACTACAAGAATCTTGGGAAGAATCTTGCTAACACTTACTAAGGGAATCATGGCAAGAATCTTGGCAAGAATTACTACGGCAATCTTGGCAAGAATCTTGGTATAAATTACTAAGGCAATCTTGGCAAAAATTATTACAAGAATCCTTCCAGGAATATTGGTAAGAATTAGTACGGGAATCTTGGCAAGAGTCCTGGTGAGAATTGCTACAGGAATCTTGGCAACAATTTTGGTAACAATCTTTGTAAGGGAATCTTGGTAAGAATATTGGCAAGAATTACTACGGGAATCTTGGCAAGAATCCTGGAGAGAATTACTACGGGAATCTTAGCAAGAATCTTGTTAAGAATTACTACAGCAATCTTGGCAAGAATCGTGGTAAGAATTAGTACGGCAATCTTGGCAAGAATTTCTACGGGAATCTTGGCGTGAATCCTGGTAAGAATTACTACGGCAAACTTGGCAAGAATCTTGGTACGAATCTCGGTAAGGATTACTAAGGGAATCTTGGCAAGAATCTTGGTAAGAAGTACAACGGAAATGTTAGCAAGAATCCTGGTGAGTATTACTACGGTAATCTTCGCAAGAATCTTGGTAGTTCAAAGTAGACAGACTGCGAATTATAGTAGTTGCTAAAAAATATATCTACGTGTCCCAACTGTTCATCAGTAGGAAGCCTAAAATGCGTTCACTTCCACAATTGGTTTCGGTGAACTAAATCCTGTACCAATTGCAGAGCATTTTAGGAGGAGCTCCCACCCTGTAGGTACAATCGCGGACAGAACATATAAGTGAGGAAAATAACGCAAAGCAAAACTAAGACGTTATTAAAGGAACTTAATTTACACGCAACTTAAACAAAATAAATAATGCACCCGCCCAAAATTAAATTGCGTAAGCACACGTACCAACATACAACTGAAATAAAAATCCAAGTAATAAATAATAAATGTAAGGACGCGATGGGGCAATTTAAGCCGGGACTGCTAAGAATTACTACGGGAATCTTGGCAAGAATCGTCGTAAGAATTATTAAGGAATCTTGGCAAGAATCTTGGTAACAACTATTACTGGAATCTTGGTAAAAATCTTGATAAGAATTAAAAAGGGAACATTGGGAAGAATCTTGGTAAGAATTATTACGGGAGTCTTGGCAAAAATCTTGGAAAGAATTACTACGGGAATCTTGGTAAGAATTACCACGGGAATATTGGTAAGATTTTCTAAGAGAATCTTGGTAAAAAAAACTACGGGAATATTTGTAAGAATCATGGTAAGAATTACTACGGGAATCTTGGCAAGAATCTTGGTAAGATTTACTCAGGGAATCTTGGTGAGAATCTTAGCAAGAATTACTACGGGAATCTTGGTAAAAATCTTGGTAAAAATTACAACGGGAATCTTGGTAACACTAACTAAGAGAATCTTGGTAAGAATCTTGGCAAGAATTACCCCGGGAAACTTGTCTTGTTGAGGATTCCACAGGAGTTTGTTTAGGATCCTGTACGACGTTATAGTATTCTCTGGGAACCTGTAGAATTTCTTATGATCTTGTCTATAATACTGTAGGATCTTTTCCAGAGCTGATTGAGATTCCATAGAATTCCTCTAGGATCTTGTACGATTGCATAGGATCTTGTCTATTATCCTGGAGGATCTTCTCCAGATTTGTTGAGGATTGCATAGGATCTTGTCTATAATACTGTAGGATCTTTTCCAAAACTGATTAAGATTCCATAGATTTCCTCTAGGATCTTGTGCCATTGCAAAAATTTTGCATCCCATTTTCTAAACCCATCCTATAGGATCCTGTACGATCTTATAGGATTCTCTAGGATACTGTAGGGTCCTGTAGGATTTCCTATGATCTTGTCTATAATACTGTAAGATCTTTTCCAGAACTGAATAAGATTCCAAGAATTCCTGTAGGATCTTGTACGATTGCATAGGTTCTTGTCTATTATCTTGAAGGATCTTCTCCATAATCTAATCGAACTAAAAGTTATTTTTCTAGAAATAGTTCACCTAGGGCTATATTCTGACAAAGTTTGGGGATTTTCGATTTTTTCATTTTGCACGCCCCCAGGCGATATTTACGGACGGCCGCTCTTAAACCTTCTCTTTGTATTAACCTGATCAAATAAGCAATTGTATATTTCTTAACTAAATTCGTACGTTCCTTGTCTGAGATGCTATAGCATCTTCTCTAGACTTGTTGAAGATTCCATAGAATTTTGTCTAGGATCCTTTACGATGTTATAGGATTCTCTAGTATACTGTACGATTTAATATGATCCTGGCTATAATACTGTAGGAACGTTCACAGAGTTAAGTAGGATTCCAAAGCAGGAAAAACAGGATTCTTTTGAGTCGTTCAAAATCTTGTCTAAGATCCCATAGTATCTTGACTAAAATTAATAATCATCTCATAGGATTTTGTCTGGGATCCTGTGAGATCCTGTAGGATCTTCTAAGATTTTTAAAGAGTGCTGTGGAGTCCTTTCCTGCTTGTCTAAGATTCCATACCCATCCCATAGGATCCTGTACGATCTTATAGGATTCTCTAGGATAATGTAGGATCCTGTGGGATTTCATATAATCTTGTCTATAATACTGTAGGATCTTTTCCAGAATTGATTAAGATTCCACAGAATTCCTGTAGGATCTTGTAAGATTGCATAGGATCTTGTCTATTATCCTGCAGGATCTTGTCCAGATTTGATAAGGATTCCGTAGGATCCTACTTAAACCTTCCCTTTTTATTAACCTGCTCAAAATGGCACTTGTATATTTCATGACTAAGATGCTATAGTATCTTGTCTAGAATTGTTGAGGATACTATAGGATTTATTTAGGATTGGCAAGAATCCTATTGACAATTACTACTGGAATCTTGGCAAGAATCCTGTTGACAATTAATACTGGAATCTTGGCAAGAATCCTGGTAAGAATTACTACGGGAGTCCTAGCAAGAATCTTGGTAAGATTTACTACCGGAATCTTGGCAAGAATCTTGGGAAGAATTATTAGGGGATCTTGGCTAGAATCTTGGTAAGATTTACTACGGGAATCTTGGCAAAAATCTTGGAAAGAATAACTACGGGACTCATGACAAGAATCCTGGAAAGATTACTACGGGAATCTTGGTACGAATCTTGGTAAGAATTATTAAGGGAATTTTGGCAAAAACCTTGGTAACATTTACTATAAGAATATTGGCGAGAATCTTGGTAAGAATAACTACGGGAATATTAGCAAGAATCTTGGTAAGAATTACTACGGGAATCTTGGTAAGAATTACTACGGGAATCTTGGCAAGAATCTTGGTAGATTTACTAGGGGAGTCTTAGTAAAAATCTTGGTAAGAATTACTACAAGAATCTTGGGAAGAATCTTGCTAACACTTACTAAGGGAATCATGGCAAGAATCTTGGCAAGAATTACTACGGCAATCTTGGCAAGAATCTTGGTATAAATTACTAAGGCAATCTTGGCAAAAATTATTACAAGAATCCTTCCAGGAATATTGGTAAGAATTAGTACGGGAATCTTGGCAAGAGTCCTGGTGAGAATTGCTACAGGAATCTTGGCAACAATTTTGGTAACAATCTTTGTAAGGGAATCTTGGTAAGAATATTGGCAAGAATTACTACGGGAATCTTGGCAAGAATCCTGGAGAGAATTACTACGGGAATCTTAGCAAGAATCTTGTTAAGAATTACTACAGCAATCTTGGCAAGAATCGTGGTAAGAATTAGTACGGCAATCTTGGCAAGAATTTCTACGGGAATCTTGGCGTGAATCCTGGTAAGAATTACTACGGCAAACTTGGCAAGAATCTTGGTACGAATCTCGGTAAGGATTACTAAGGGAATCTTGGCAAGAATCTTGGTAAGAAGTACAACGGAAATGTTAGCAAGAATCCTGGTGAGTATTACTACGGTAATCTTCGCAAGAATCTTGGTAGTTCAAAGTAGACAGACTGCGAATTATAGTAGTTGCTAAAAAATATATCTACGTGTCCCAACTGTTCATCAGTAGGAAGCCTAAAATGCGTTCACTTCCACAATTGGTTTCGGTGAACTAAATCCTGTACCAATTGCAGAGCATTTTAGGAGGAGCTCCCACCCTGTAGGTACAATCGCGGACAGAACATATAAGTGAGGAAAATAACGCAAAGCAAAACTAAGACGTTATTAAAGGAACTTAATTTACACGCAACTTAAACAAAATAAATAATGCACCCGCCCAAAATTAAATTGCGTAAGCACACGTACCAACATACAACTGAAATAAAAATCCAAGTAATAAATAATAAATGTAAGGACGCGATGGGGCAATTTAAGCCGGGACTGCTAAGAATTACTACGGGAATCTTGGCAAGAATCGTCGTAAGAATTATTAAGGAATCTTGGCAAGAATCTTGGTAACAACTATTACTGGAATCTTGGTAAAAATCTTGATAAGAATTAAAAAGGGAACATTGGGAAGAATCTTGGTAAGAATTATTACGGGAGTCTTGGCAAAAATCTTGGAAAGAATTACTACGGGAATCTTGGTAAGAATTACCACGGGAATATTGGTAAGATTTTCTAAGAGAATCTTGGTAAAAAAAACTACGGGAATATTTGTAAGAATCATGGTAAGAATTACTACGGGAATCTTGGCAAGAATCTTGGTAAGATTTACTCAGGGAATCTTGGTGAGAATCTTAGCAAGAATTACTACGGGAATCTTGGTAAAAATCTTGGTAAAAATTACAACGGGAATCTTGGTAACACTAACTAAGAGAATCTTGGTAAGAATCTTGGCAAGAATTACCCCGGGAAACTTGTCTTGTTGAGGATTCCACAGGAGTTTGTTTAGGATCCTGTACGACGTTATAGTATTCTCTGGGAACCTGTAGAATTTCTTATGATCTTGTCTATAATACTGTAGGATCTTTTCCAGAGCTGATTGAGATTCCATAGAATTCCTCTAGGATCTTGTACGATTGCATAGGATCTTGTCTATTATCCTGGAGGATCTTCTCCAGATTTGTTGAGGATTGCATAGGATCTTGTCTATAATACTGTAGGATCTTTTCCAAAACTGATTAAGATTCCATAGATTTCCTCTAGGATCTTGTGCCATTGCAAAAATTTTGCATCCCATTTTCTAAACCCATCCTATAGGATCCTGTACGATCTTATAGGATTCTCTAGGATACTGTAGGGTCCTGTAGGATTTCCTATGATCTTGTCTATAATACTGTAAGATCTTTTCCAGAACTGAATAAGATTCCAAGAATTCCTGTAGGATCTTGTACGATTGCATAGGTTCTTGTCTATTATCTTGAAGGATCTTCTCCAGATTTAATATGGATTGCATAGGATATTTGTTAAACCTTCTCTTTGCATTAACCTGCTCAAATAAGCACTTGTATATTTCTTAACTAAATTCTTAGCTTCTTGTCTAAGTTGCTATAGCATCGTGTGTGGAATTGTTAAAGATTCCATACCCATCCCACAGGATCCTGTACGATCTCATAGGTTTCTCTAGGATACTGTCGGATCCTGTAGGATTTCATATGATCTTCCCTATAATACTCTACGATCTTTTCAAGAACCATTTAAAATTTGATAGAATTTCTGTAGGTTCTTGTGCGATTGCCTATTATCTTGTTTATTATTCTGCAGGATCTTCTCCGGATTTAATAAGCATTCCATAAGATCTTCCTTAAACCTTCTCTTTGCATTAACCTGCTCAAAAGAGCACTTGTATATTTCTTAACTAAATTCGTGGCTTCTAGTCTAAGATGCTATAGTTTTTGTCTAGAATTGTTGAGGATTCCATAAGATTTTGTTTAGGATCCTGTACGATGTTATAGTATTTTCTAGGATACTGTAGGATTTCATATGATCTTGTCTATGATAGTGTAGGATATTTTCCAGAGTTGATTCCATTCCATAGGCGGGATTGACAGGATGCTTTTGAGTCGTTCAAAATCCTCTCTAATATCCCATAGTATCTTGATTAAAATTAATAACGATTTTATAGGATTTTGTCTAAGATCCTGTGAGATCCTGTAGGATCTTGTATCATTTCACTGTTTAAAATTTTACAGAGTGCTGTGGAGTCCTTTCATGCTTGTCTAAGATCCCATACCCATCCCATAGGATCCTGTACCATATTATAGGATTCCCTAGGATAGCGTAGGATCCAATAGGATTTGATATGATCTTCTCTATAATCCTCTAGCATCATTTCCAGAACTGATTAAAATTCCATAGAATTCCTATAGGATCTTCTACGATTGCATAGTATCTTGTCTATAAATCCGCAGGATCTTCTGCAGATTTCATAAGGATTCTTACACCTTCTCTTTGCATTAACCTGCTCAAATAAGCACTTGTATATTTTTTAATTAAGATTTTACGGCATCTTGTCTAGAATGGTTAACGATTCCATAGGATTTTGTTTAGGATCCAGTACGACTTTATAGGATTCTCTAGGATCCTGTAGGATTTCATATGATCTTGTCTATAGTACTGTAGCATCTTTTCAGAGTTGATTAGCAATTCACATGCAGGATTGACAAGATGCTGTTGAGTTCTTCACAATCTTGTATACGATCCCATAGTATCTTGACTAAAGTTAATAACGATTTTATAGGATTCTGTCTAGGATCCCGTGAGATCCTGTAGGAAGTTGTATGATTCCACTCTTTAAAACTTTAGAGTGCTTTGGAGTCCTTTCATGCTTGTCTAAGATCCCACACCCATCCCACAGGATCCTGTGCGATCTTATAGGAATCTCTAGGATACTATAGGATCCTGTAGGATTTCATATGATATTGTCCATAATATTGTGCGATGTTTTCCAGAACTGATTAAGATTCCATAGAATTCCCTTACGATCTCGTACGATTGCATAGGATCTTGTCTATTATCCTGCAGGATCTTCGCTAGGTTTAATAAGCTGTCCATAAGATCTTTCTTACACTTTCTCTTTGCATTAAACTTCTCAAATAAACACTTGTATATTTCTTAACTAAATTCTTAGCTTCTTGTCTAAGATGCTATAGAATCCTCTCTAGAATTGTTGAGGATTCCATAGGATTTTGTGTAGGATCATGTTTGATCCTATAGGATTCTCTAGAATCCTGTGGGATTTTATATGATCTTGTCTATAATACTGTACGAACTTCTTCAGAATTGATAAGGATTCCATAGGCAGGATTGGCAGTATGCTCTTGACTCGTTCAAAATCTTGTTTAGGATGATTTTATAGGATTTTGTCTAGGATCATATAAGATCCTGTAGGATCTTGCATGATTCCACTGTTTACAATTTTACAAAATGATGTGAAGTCCTTTGATGCTTGTCCTGTACCCTATATTTTATTTTATTTTAACTTATTTTCTCGAATATTTTAGCTCTACAGCTACTCTGTAAATTTCGAGCATAAGTAAAGGATATGTGTGTATGTATGTATACCCATCCCATAAGATCCTGTACGATCTTATAGGATTCTCTAGAATACTGTAGGATCCTGTAGGATCACATATGATCTTGCCTAAAATACTGTAAGATCTTTTCCAGAACTGATAAAGATTCCAAAAATTCATGCAGAATTTTGTACCATTGCATAGGATCTTGTCTAATATCCTAAAGGAGATTCTCCAGATTTTATAAGGATTGCATTGGATCTTACTCAACCCTCTTTTTGCATTTAGCTGCTCAAATAAGCACTTGTATATTTCTTAACTAGGTTCTTAGCTGCTTGTCTAAGATGCCATAGCATCACGTCTAGAATTGTTGAAGATTCCAGAGGATTTTGTTTAGGATCCGTTACGATCTTATACGATTCTCCAGGATCCTGTAAGATTTCATAAGATCTTGTCTATAATACTGTAGGACTATTTCCAGAACTGATTACGATTCCATAGAATTCCTGTAGGATATTGTACGATTGCATAGAATCTTGTCTGTTATCCTGCAGGATCTTCCCCAGATTTGATAAGGGTTCCAGAGGATCTTTCTTAAACCCTTTCTTTGCATTAACCTGCTCAAATAAGCACCTGTATATTTCTTAACTAAATTCTTAGNATAAGCACTTGTATATTTCTTAACTAGGTTCTTAGCTGCTTGTCTAAGATGCCATAGCATCACGTCTAGAATTGTTGAAGATTCCAGAGGATTTTGTTTAGGATCCGTTACGATCTTATACGATTCTCCAGGATCCTGTAAGATTTCATAAGATCTTGTCTATAATACTGTAGGACTATTTCCAGAACTGATTACGATTCCATAGAATTCCTGTAGGATATTGTACGATTGCATAGAATCTTGTCTGTTATCCTGCAGGATCTTCCCCAGATTTGATAAGGGTTCCAGAGGATCTTTCTTAAACCCTTTCTTTGCATTAACCTGCTCAAATAAGCACCTGTATATTTCTTAACTAAATTCTTAGCTTCTTCTGTAAGATGATATTGCAGCTTGTCTAGAATTGCTAAGCAGTCCGTAGGATTTTGTTTAGGATCCTGTATGATCTGATAGGAATCTCTAGGATCCTGTAGAATTTTGTGTGATCTAGTCTTTAATACTGTAGGATCTTTTCCAGAGTTGGTTAGGATTCCATAGGTTGATGGAAAAGATGTTTTTGGGTCGCTCAAAATATTGTCTAATATCCCATAGTATCTTGACTAAAGTTAATAACAATGTTATAAGATTTTGTCTAGGATTCTGTCAGATCCTGTAAGATCTTGTATAATTCCACTGTTTAAAATTTACAGATTGAATTGTAGTCCTTTCATGCTTTTCTAAGATCCCACACCTATCCCATAGGATCCTGTACAATCTTATAGGATTCTCTAGGATACTGTACGATCCTGTAGGATTTTATACGATCTTGTGTAGAATACTGTGGGATCTTTTCCAGAACTGATTAAGATTCCATAGAATTCCTGTAGGATCTAGTAAGATTGCATAGGATCTTGTCTATTATCCTGCACGATCTTGTCGAGATTTGATAACGATTCTATAGCATCTTTGTTAAACCTTCTCTTTGCATTAATCTGCTAAAATAAGCACTTTTATATTTCTTAACTAAATTCTTAGCTTCTTGTCTCAGATGCTATAGCATCTTCTCTAGATTTAATAAGAATTCCCTAGAATTTTGTTTAGGATCTTGTACGACCTTATAGGAATCTCTAGGACCCTATAGGATTTCATATGATCTTGTCTATAATGCACTGAGATTTTTCCAGAGTTGATTAGTATTCCACAGGACGAATTGACATTATGCTGTTGAGTCGTTCAAAATCTTGTCTAAGATCCCATAGTATCTTGACTAAAATTAATAACGCTTTAATGGGATTTTGTGCGGGATCCTGTGAGATCTCTTAGGATTTTGTAAGATTCCACTGTTTACAATTTTACAAAGTGCTGTGGATTCCTTTCATGCTTATCTAAGATCCTATACGCATCCCATAGGATCCTGTACGATCTTACTGGATTCTCTAGGAAGCTGTAGGATACTGTAGGATTTCATATGATCTTCTGTACAATGCTGTACGATCTTTTCAAGAACTGATTAAGATTCCATATAATTCCTGTAGGACCTTGTACGATTGCATAAGATGTTGTCTTATTGATTATGTATCCTGAAGGATCTTCCCCAGATTTAATAGGGATTCCATAGGTTCTTTTTTAAACCTTCTCTTTGCATTAACCTGATCAAATAAGCAATTGTATATTTCTTAACTAAATTCGTACGTTCTTGTCTAAGATGCTATATCATCTTCTTCATCATCTTCATTTCGGATCCTGAACGATCTTATAGGATTCACCAGGATCCTGTAGGATTCCATATGATCTTGTCTACAATAGTGTAGTATCCTTTCCAGAGTTGGTTTGGATTCCATAGGGAGGATTGACAGGATGCCGTAGAGTTGTTCAAAACCTTGTCTAAGATCCCGTAGTATCTTGACTAATACGATCTTTTCAAGAACTGATTAAGATTCCAGAGAATTCCTGTAGGATCTGATGTTTGGTGATAACATAGGATCTTGTCTATCATCCCGCAGGATCTTTTCCACAATTGATAAGGTTTTCATAAGATCTTTCTGAAATACTCTCTTTGCATTAACCTGATCAAATAAGCAATTGTATATTTCTTAACTAAATTCGTACGTTTTTTGTCTAAGATGCTATATCATCTTTTCTAGACTTGTTGAACTTTCCATAGAATCCTGTTTAGGATCCTGTGAGATCTTATAGGATTCTCTAGAATACTGTAGGATTTCATATGATCCTGTCTATAATACTGTAGGAACGTTCCCAGAGTTGATTAGGATTCCAAAGCAGGAAAAACAGGATGCTTTTGAAGCGTTCATTTAGAACAGATTCTAGGGTATCATAGAACTGATTTTAATGATTGGTAAAATCCCTAAAACACATCCTAGGACACTCTAGGAGATCCTAGAACATACTAAGCACCGTTTAAAATTATGCAGATTGCTGCGGAGGCCTTTCATACTTGTTTAAGATCCCATACACATCCCCATCCCATTGGGTCCTGTACGATCTTATAGGATTCTCTAGGATACTGTAGGATCCTTGGTAAGAATTACTACGCGAATCCTTGTAAGAATTACTAAGGGAATCTTGGTAAGAATCTGGCAAGAATTACTATGGGAACCGTGGTAAGAATCTTTGCAAGAATCCTGGTGAGAATTACTACGGGTATCTTAACAAGAATCTTAGTAAGAATTACCACGGGTTTCTTGGCAAGAATCTTTGTAAGAATTACTACGGGAAGCTTGGCAAGAATCTTGGTAATTCAAAGTAGACAGACTGCAAATTATAGTAGTTACTAAAAAACATATCAACGTGTCCTAACTGTTCATCAGTAGGATGCCTAAACTGCCTTCAATTCCACAGTTGGTTTCGCCTCCATTAAATCCTATACCTATTAGAGAACATTTTAGGAGCCGCCACCCACCGGGTAAGCACAGTCGCGGACAACACATACAAGTGAGGAAAATAACGCAAAGTAAAACTTAGACGTTATTAAACAAACTAAATGTACACGCAACTTAAATAAAGTAAATAATGCACGCGCCCAAAATTAAATTGCCCACGCACATGTACCAAGATACAACTGAAATAAAATTCCAAGTAATAAATAAGCAATGTAAGAATACGATGGTCAAATTAGAGCCTGGATTGCTAAGAATAACTACGGAGATCTTGGCAAGAATCCTGGTAAGAATTACTACTGGAATCTTGGTAAGATTTACTAGTTGAATCTTGGCAAAAACCTTGGTAAGATTTATTAAGGGCATCTTGACAAGAATCTTGGTAAGAATTAATACGGGAATCTTGGCAAGACACTTGGTAAGAATTACTACGGGAATCTTGGCAAGAATCATGGCAATAATTACTACGGGAATCTTGGCAAGAATCCTGGTGAGAATTATCACGAGAATCTTGGTAGGAATCTTGGTAAGAATCTTAGTAAGAAATACTACGGAAGTCTTGATAGGAACCTTGGCAAGAATTAGTAAAGGAATCTTGGTAAGAATTACCACGGCAATCTTGGCAAGAATCTTGGTTAGAATCACTACGGAAATATTGGCAAGAATCCTGGTGAGAAATACTAAGGGAATCTTGGCAAGATTCTAGGTAAGAATTGCTACTGGAAACGTGGCAAGAATCCTAGTGAGAATCACTACGGAAAATTTGGCAAGAATTTTGGTAAGATTTAGTACGGGAATCTTGTTAAGAATTACCACGTTAATCTTGGCAAGAATCTTTGCAAGAATTACGATGGGAATCTTGGTAAGAATCTTAGTAAGAATTACCACGGGAATCTTGGCAAGAATCTTGGTAACAACTACCACGGAAATCTTGCCAAGAATCTTGGTAAGAATTATTAGGGAAATCTTGATAAGAACCTTGGCAAGAATTTGTAAGGGAATATTGGTAAGAATCTTGGTACGAATTACTACGGGAATGTTGGCAAAAATCTTGGTGAGAATTACTACGGCAACCTTGGCAAGAATCTTGGCAAGAACCCAAGTGAGAATTACTTGCTTGTCCTTATGAACGCAAAACTGAGGCAAACTGCAGCGATACGCCCGCGCGTTCGACGGGGCACTCGACGTGTGTCAAGGAATGCTGTTACGTGAGTCGAGAATGCCTTACATAAAATGACATTTGCAAAAGGACCACAGAGATTCTTTATAGGAAAACTTCGTAGATTTAAAAAAATGTACCGTTGTGATGGGTAAGTGGTAGTTGAGCTTTTGCACATTGTGCTAGCATATGTTTAGAACCAGTTTATAGTGAGGAACAAGCAGTTTTAAAGCACTATTAGAGCATCTTAGTGGTAGTTTCCTTATTTTTCAAAGAAAATAGACATCAAAATGTAGAAAAAAAAGATTTAAGAAACAAATTCGGACTGCCACGCTTAATATACAGTTGTTTAGAGGACACCGTTGTTGTTATAACACCTGTTTTATACTTTTTGTCAGCGTATAAAATAAATAAAAAGGCCTCATGATAAAAATTATCTTAGCGTTTTTTTTCGGTGATGGGTGGGTGGGTGGGTGGGCGTGTAAGACCAAGAATATTAATGGCGAAACAAACAGGACAACGGAAGGGGTTGAGGGAAAGTTCCATCTCTGTGCCTTATTTTTTGGGATGGGCTTCCCCTTTGTTTGTTTCCTCTTTTTTCTTTCGAGTTTTCAGGCGAGCGAAGGCAGGGGATAACCTCGTCCGCGGGAGCGGAGTAAAGAGCAGAAAAAATAACATAACGTCATTTTTTTCCCCTCTCCTTTCCCTGTAGCCTGCGTGACAAGCGTTTCTGTGTTGTTTCGGAGAAAAGAGAGAGGATCGAGAGTCAAAGAGCGCGCCGAAAATGGGGAGAGTGAAAGAACGGAAGGAAACTTTCTTCCTTCCCCTCCCCTCCCCCTTTTACATCTCGTTCCACTTTTCTCGCGGCGAAAATTCCGTTCCTCGTCTTTTTTTCCGAAAACAAACGGAACTGCTTGCTACGCGGGATACTTTCTCTGTCGCTCCAAGCCGGCGCCCACTTTGTCTTTCGTTTGCCTGGAAAACGCGAAAAATAGTGCCTGTTCTGTAGGTTAGGTTTCTCTTAGTTTGTGTGTAATTTTTCATATATTAGTTTTTTCACAGGTGGAATTTGTCTACTTTCCACCCAACCCCGACTTCACATTTCTATTGGTCAACTCCTTACTAAAATTATTAGCTCGTGTTGTTTTTTCCCTTGTCAAGAGTCACACTGTTTCCACTAAGATTAGCCCAAGGATGTGCAAGAGCAGGCAGCCACAAGTTCTGAAATAAAATCCAGATATGGCTTTTTTCTGTGCCTAGATGATGTATCCTCCATGTTGAAGTGATAGCAAATCTCACGAAGCTGAGCTACAGTCAGCTTACTGAGCTTTTTGGTCGAGCTCATCGCACAGAGGTTCCACCTGTCGTATACTATGGGGTGCACCGGTGTGCATTGCATCAGGATTGTGTCGCGTGTAATTAAGAAAGCTTCTTCGTCTTCGGCTGCTTGGTCGTCAGTGTCTTCCTCTTCGTCGTCCTCCGGAGTAGCAGCATGGCGAAGTTTCGCGGCTGTTCTAGAGAAAAAGCTCTGGATCTGCCCCTCGGTTAAAAACTCGTCCACCTTGAATGGGCGCTCGCCTCTTTCGTTGCGCGCATACCGCATTTCCCGTCTACTTGTTCAGGGTCAGCCTTATGGCTCGTCTCCTGACCAATTCTAAACTTATCACTCAAGTACTTCCTCTGGTTTTCCGTAAATCTCGCTGTCTTCCTAGATCCTTTTAGGGCCCAGCCTTTCTGTAGTGACTCGACAGCTTTACATTGTTCAGCCTGGACGACGAGAGTAGGCTGAGCACTGTCTCCGACGGTAAGCTTCTCTGCATAAAGAAGGACCGATTGATCTAACAAGTTGTATTTAACGTGCGGTCGCAAGCAGCACTGACCAAACATGATGTGGTTTTCGAGGTTCGAATACCTTTGATAGCTCTCTATGCAGCCATCCACTGGGCAACAGAAAAGGCCACTGTCTTCAGCAATCTCTTCATCGACCCTCTTGCTGCTGATCTGGGATTCTGTCGCTTTTGCCGACGGTTTCCTTTCCCAGCATGGGACAAAGTCTCCAGGTGACAATTGGAACACGTACGACAGACAAGGTAGCTTACTCGGTACTGAAATAAGAAAAAGGGGATAAATACCATTAGTAAGTATCATCACGTGGCAACTTCCCCTATGAAAAACAAGGTAATGGATGTTTGGCTGACCTTGTAGTCGGGACCAGGGGACAGATTTTCCAGGTCCAACGTCAAAGGCCTTCCACGCGGTTACTTGATTGTCATCTCCGTAAGAAAAGTTATTAATGGTGCTGATTCCTTCCCAGCGTCCTGGTCCCTCCACCTGTAATAGTCATAAAAGCACGTGATGCTTTAGATAGTCTGTCCTACAACAATTATAGTAACTTTTTACCTATAATTCTGAGTAGTCAGATGCAATTATCTGCTGGCTCTGATCTGAGGAACTGGTGACAAGAGCCACTCGCACACCGTTTATGCCCTTGTGAGACAACATAGCGTCATGGAATTCCCGCGCAGTAACCACATTATGGCCTTCGTTGACATAGCGGCGAACATGCGCCTTCACAGTTGCTGCTTTACGATCGCACGCACCCTTCCCACCTTGGAGATCGCTGAAATCTACCCTTTTTACGCGGATGCCGGTTTCCCCTGCCATCAGACGACGTGCTGATACCATGGCAACGCTGTGATAACAGCCGGCGTTATCTTGCCTCAGCGCTGCTGTCTCAATCTCTGGGTGCTCACGTTTGAGAGTCTTCAGGGTGTGACCGAAAAGCTGGATTACGCTGTTTGCATCTTGGCTACAGTCTTCCACGATTTGGACAAAGGCCTGGTGCTGTAACGTCGCATTAACCCTTCGCACAATCACACTAATATGCCAAGAGATACCTCGTTTCCCAAACCAGTCGGCTTGGGTTTCTCGATATCTCCGTGGCAGCCACTTCATAGCCCAGTCTTGGGTTATAAGTACCTTCGTCTCGTCTAGGTCATCAAGGACGGTTGTGCGCGCCTTGTCTTGTTGCAGAGACCTCAGCTGATGCGCTTTCCAAGCTTGTATCGCTTGTACTGCATTCTGGTGAGTGTAGAGAAGGTCGTCACGCATATCCTCGGGGATGGTGGAATTCTTAGAAAGAGCTTCTTCTATTTCCGTTAATGCAGATTTCAGCTCCTCGCACTGGAGACAGCTGTTTTCATGATCGTGTTGACTCTCAACGCAGAGAGATTTATCATTTGGGTCACTTAGTGCGTAAGTGATACAGTGGTCGGGTATATTTGCTTCAGCTGTCAGGTGCACCTGTGTTTGAATAAATAAATGAATTAATTAATTAATAATAGAAAAGTAATTAAATTCATCTCCACTGGAAAATCTATAAGCGGGGTTGACATTATCATAGAAGTACTATGGCCCTTTAATATCAGTCATCTTTTGTATCATCTTTAACATCGCCTAGTTTTGTCGATATCTTTTGACGTCTTTTCGTAGCGCATTTCAAGCTCGGCAGTGCATAAAAGAAAATAAAACTGACAAGGGCTACTGCAAACGCCCCTGTTATAATGAGTCCTTCGTGATACGAATGAGATTATACAGTATTGTTTGTTTATTTGCATCAGGCACGGCTCACACTATAAGAACGTTGTTTATACTATACTATATTAAGGCTTAGTCGTAAGTAACGCAGACAGTCACGTTACCTTGTAAACAGACTTGATGTACTGCTTTGCCTCCATGAGTGCTCTCTGCCAACATTCAACCCAAGTACGATCACTGCTCACTTTGGGAAGCATGGCAATAAGCTCGTCGAAAGCTTTTCCACCGTCTGCTTCATATAGTCTAACCCATGAAGTGACCGTCTAACAGTTGCAGAGCACGACGAAAGTATGCGTTGACCTACTGAATGGGGTGAACTCGATTTCCCCGCAATATTGCTTGTATTGCGCCACAATACGCTCAGGAACGAGTGTTCGTATAATGTTTGGCGTCTCAACAACCGTTCCGTCCGCAAGAACTAACGTTTTCTCGCCAAAAGGGAGGTCCTGTATGACGTGAGGACTTGTGATAAAAGTTAAGAAATGGTCAAGCTGCTCCTCATTGACTCTCATTCGAGGACTCTTTGAAATGGTTACAGGCTTCCCCCTACCAAACATTATAGCGTGCTGTCTAGCTGCCTTCACCCGGTACTCTGTGATGTTTGGCAAGTACCTCTGTATGACAGTGTAGGGCACCAAGTCAGCCATTACGGACAGGATCTGCCTTTGGGTGTCCCATGTTGAAGCGCACCTATAAGCCTCCGCGAGAGAGGTCAGATACTTATCCTCGACGGAAGAAACTGGAGATGGTAACCCGAGGGACTTCTCAACTTCACCAGAGTTGAGTAAAGCCTCCCATAAACCGCCGCCGTCTTCAGGACTTATGATTTCCAATGTTGAGACTATGGTATCTGTCGCGGTTCCAATATACTGACGCCTGGCTTTGGAGTTCTTTCAGTTGCCTCCAGGGCTTTTTCTGGACGGTAATGATCGGTCTGTCACAAGCAATAAGGAACTCATTGAGCTTCACGCGACGTATTGCTAAATTTGCACTTCTGCCCCTGTCATCACTGGAAGACAGTTCACTGCTGCTCGGGTCCGTTGCCTCAGGTACATACAAACTGGTAATGGACATATTCGACATAGCCTGGCAAAGGTCACTCACAGGGGCTCCAGGTTTCTGTTTGAAAACAAAAAGATAAAAAACTCAATGTTTTCTATTACTATATCAGTTTTGAACCCTATAGCCCGCATAGTCTCAGTTTGTTGGTCATTACCTATACTGGCTTGTCGTATAGCTCACTGTCGTGTTTTATCGCTCCGATGTTTTGATTTTGCGATAACAACAATAACAATAATGAAAATTACAATAACAAATCAATTTCCATACTGAAACTTCTATTCGAGTGAGCAAATATTGTTGTTGTTGTTGCCTTTTTAACACAAAAACAACCGCGAAGCTCTACTAAAGTTTTTTTCGTTATTAACAATATTATTAATAATTCCTTACCGTCCCATTACTCTCCTCACTCGAAGGGGAAACCGATTCTTCCTGCACATAGACCTTAAGAGGGAGCGTGCGCCGTGTTTCTCTGTAACAGGTGGTGTCAATTTCCTCTGGTGGTTCAGGCTTTGCCTCCTCCGTCAGCGACCCACGACACGCCCTACATATTGCTGAAAAGAACATACAAAAGCTATTATAATTGGGGAAGGTAGTCTTCTATTTATAGCTGGATTTCCTTTTACGGGAAGGCAAGTTTATGCTTAGTCTGGCCCTCAGTTTGAAATAATTTGTGGCTTGCCAGTGAGAAATGTACACACCAAAAAAATAGGATAATTCGAAAAGGCACAGAGTAGACATAAGTATTTGAGTTAATCAGAAAGTATACATTACTAAATATTTCAGTTTCATTCAAAACCGCTATCACCACTTAGAGTACTATACTTACGAGATCCAACTGGTACAAGTATCTTCGTAAGGCTGTAGATCAACCTTGACTGCGCAAAAGAAAGCGTCCTTTCTTTTCCCCTTCTCTTTTTAACATGATGGGGGGCCAGAGCCAGGGGAACTTTACATAACATTTGCCGGCAGCGCCATCCGATGCCAAATTCGTCACGGTGCTTCGGGCAAATCGTCATTTGACATTTTGAGTGATCAAATTCAAATACACCTGGGACAAAAGTGAAAATGACGATAAAACAAGGAATTTTTATTTCCTATCCCCTTAAGATTGAGAGCAAACTGCGCTTGGTCTGCCGAGTTCTTTTGGGGACTGGGGATAGCCATTAGATTTATTGGGACGATCTGAGGATCGGAGAAGTCCCCAAATTAAAACCTTTCAAGCCAAAATTCCAAGGAAAAAGTTCTTCCGAGGAAAAGACAACATAACTAACAATATCAAGCATAAAAAAAAAGAAAAGTGAGTTTTTAAAAGATATATATGTATAATCATGTCTCAAACTTACTCGCCCTGGCTAATAACAGCACTGCTTCAGTGTTTAAACCATAGTTGGCAAAACTGGCTTGCAGTGTTTCTGTAATGTGGCGCTCAATCGATCGGCTACATTCCCTGATCAGTACGTACTCTGTGCTGAAGTATCTGGCACTTGAACCACACTCATCCCCGACCAGCGCTCCATGTTCACACTCTGTGTGGTCGCACATCAGAGAGCCGTGGACGTCTGCTGATTATAGCTCTCGCTACCAAAGACTCTATATGTAACGAAAACCGTGCTAACAAAGAAATGGATGACTCTGGGAGAGGTTCTCACTAAAAATAAGGTGTTGCGAAAGCGGTCCGGCCGTGACCCGCTTCTACACAACGCTTACGATATTTCGCAATCGTTTAAAATTAGAACTAATATGGGAATGGAAAAGTTACACTTGACTTAAAGGAAACAAACAAAAAGATGTATTTACATAGCGCTAATGATTACTATTTGACACGCTTCATGACGTTTGGGTTCACATGTTTGTGATCGCAAAACTGCGAGGTAAATGGGGAGAAAAAAAGAATATAGTTATAACATGCTGATAAGCCATTTTTTTGCGACGAAAGAAAATCGAATGAAAAAAACGCCTGGAGTTTGCCTTAGTTTTTGCGGTCATAAAGACAAGCAAGGACATAAGGTACAAACAAAAATATTGCCGACCTCATATTTACTAAAAAGGATCGATGTTTGGTGTAAAGTTTGAACACTTTGCTGAGTCGTGATACGAGTACTGCACTTGACCTTCATGTTTACATTAGTGTGACGCCAGGTTACAATAAAAAGCCGGGATTTGACCCTCTTTTTTGGTAAAATTGAGATAAAATTTTCCATCTTACTTTTTTTCAATTACGTGTGTATCATTGAGGGACTTGAGATCGCCTGAATTAAACATATCGTGCCTGAAATATTTGCTTTAGAATTCACCATGTCGCGCCGATCCTCATAACTGTCAAGTCAGTTAGGTCAAATTTCACACAAGTGCTCCCTGAATCTCGCTTTCCCAAAAATTCATTTCACATGTTGCCCAAACTTTTGAACCCATATTTCGAAAGCTTAAAGATTGCTTTGTAATGTCAGATATCTATTTCTTCTTAAAACAATGTATCGGGTTGAATTTTGCGCCTTCGAATTTTGACAAAATTTTGCTCGGGTGAAATCCTCAAAATTATTCAAGAATCTTAAAATATATTCTGGTTGCAATCAATTGAAGCGTATTACCACTCAAAATGTATGTTGAAATCCCTTTAATACAATGAGAAACATTGTGGATTGAATGATTCTTGAATTAGACTAAAATCGAACTCCTTTCGTTACCCTGTCGCGCGTTCCGAAAAAGCGGCCCGATGGAGGCCGTGAAGCGGTCAATCTTTACACTCGCTGTATTGCAAAAATACTTAACCGATGAAAATAAAAGTTATATTTTCATAAATAAGGTACCTGGGGTAGTCCACAGAATTTTGTTTCGATTTTTCGAAATTTTTGGATATTTACAGACATCCGCTCCTAACTAGGTTCTTAGCTGCTTGTCTAAGATGCAATAGCATCTCGTCTAGAATTGTTGAAGATTCCAGAGGATTTTGTTTAGGATCCGTTACGATCTTATACGATTCTCTAGGATCCTGTAAGATTTCATAAGATCTTGTCTATAATACTGTAGGACTATTTCCAGAACTGATTAAGATTCCATAGAATTCCTGTAAGATATCGTACGATTGCATAGAATCTTGTCTGTTATCCTTCAGGATCTTCCGCAGATTTGATAAGGGTTCCAGAGGATCTTTCTTAAACCCTTTCTAACGTAATTGGACGAGTTTATTCGTGGACATATAAAGAATTGATTTAAGAATCGAAGAAGACATTCTACTATAACGTCGAACAGATCAATTGCTAAGCAGTCCGTAGGATTTTGTTTAGGATCCTGTATGACCGGATAGGAATCTCTAGGATCCTGTAGAATTTCATGTGATCTTGTCTATAATACTGTAGGATCTTTTCCAGAGTTGGTTAGGATTCCATAGGTTGATTGAAAAGATGCTTTTGAGTCGCTCAAAATATCGTCTCATATCCCATAGTATCTTGACAAAAGTTAATAACAATGTTATAAGATTTTGTCTAGGATTCTGTCAGATCCTGTAAGATCTTGTATAATTCCACTGTTTAAAATTTTACAGATTGAATTGTAGCCCTTTCATGCTTTCCTAAGATCCCATACCTATCCCATAGGATCCTGTACAATCTTATAGGATTCTCTAGCTTACTGTAGGATCCTGTAGGATTTTATACAATCTTGTCTAGAATACTGTGGTATCGTATCCAGAACTGATTAAGATTCCATAGAATTCCTGTAGGATCTAGTAAGATTGCATAGGATCTTGTCTATTATCCTGCAAGATCTTGTCCAGATTTGATAACGATTTCATAGCATCTTTCTTAAACCTTCTCTTTGCATTAATATGCTAAAATAAGCACTTTTATATTTCTTGACTAAATTCTTAGCTTCTTGTCTAAGATGCTATAGCATCTTCTCTAGAATTGTTAAGAATTCCATAGAATTTTGTCTAGGATCTTGTACGATCTTATAGTTGATTAGCATTCCACAGGACGAATTGACAGTATGCTGTTGAGTCGTTCAAAATCTTGTCTAAGATCCCATAGTATCTTGACTAAAATTAATAACGCTTTAATGGGATTTTGTGCGGGATCCTGTCAGATCTTTTAGGATCTTGTAAGATTCCACTGTTTACAATTTTACAAAGTGATGTGGATTCCTTTCATGCTTGTCTAAGATCCTATACGCATCCCATAGGATCCTGTACGATCTAACTGGATTCTCTAGGATACTGTAGGATACTGTAGGATTTCATATGATCTTCTGTATAATACTGTACGATCTTTTCAAGAACTGATTAAGATTCCATAAAATTCCTGTAAGACCTTGTACGGTCGCATAAGATGTTCTCTATTATCCCGAAGGATCTTCCCCAGATTTAATAGGAATTCCATAGGTTCTTTTTTAAACCTTCTCTTTGCATTAACCTGATCAAATAAGCAATTGTATATTTCTTAGCTAAATTCGTACGTTTTTGTCTAAGATGCTATATCATCTTTTCTAGACTTGTTGAAGATTCCATAGAATATTGTTTAGGATCCTGTGAGATCTTATAGGATTCTCTAGAATACTGTAGGATTTCATATGATCCTGTCTATAATACCGTAGGAACGTTCCCAGAGTTGATTAGGATTCCAAAGTAGGAAAAACAGGATGCTTTTGAAGCGTTCAAAATCTTGTCTAAGATCCCATAGTATCTTGACTAAAATTACTAACCATTTTAGGGATTTTGTGTAGGATCCTGTGAGATCCTCTAGGATCTTGTATGATTCNTTTCAAGAACTGATTAAGATTCCATAAAATTCCTGTAAGACCTTGTACGGTCGCATAAGATGTTCTCTATTATCCCGAAGGATCTTCCCCAGATTTAATAGGAATTCCATAGGTTCTTTTTTAAACCTTCTCTTTGCATTAACCTGATCAAATAAGCAATTGTATATTTCTTAGCTAAATTCGTACGTTTTTGTCTAAGATGCTATATCATCTTTTCTAGACTTGTTGAAGATTCCATAGAATATTGTTTAGGATCCTGTGAGATCTTATAGGATTCTCTAGAATACTGTAGGATTTCATATGATCCTGTCTATAATACCGTAGGAACGTTCCCAGAGTTGATTAGGATTCCAAAGTAGGAAAAACAGGATGCTTTTGAAGCGTTCAAAATCTTGTCTAAGATCCCATAGTATCTTGACTAAAATTACTAACCATTTTAGGGATTTTGTGTAGGATCCTGTGAGATCCTCTAGGATCTTGTATGATTCCACCGTTTAAAATTATGCAGATTGCTGCGGGGGCCTTTCATACTTCTTTAAGATCCCATACACATCCCACTGGGTCCTGTACGATCTTACAGGATTCTCTAGGATACTGTAGGATCCTTGGTAAGAATTACTTCGCGAATCTTGGTAAGAATTACTACGGGTATCTTGGCAAGAATCTTGGTAATTCAAAGTAGACAGACTGCAAATTATAGTAGTTACTAAAAAACATATCAACGTGTCCTAACTGTTCATCAGTTGGATGCCTAAACTGCGTTCAATTCCACAGTTGGTTTCGCCTCCATCAAATCCTATACCTATTAGAGAACATTTTAGGAGCCACCACCCACCTTGTGAGCAAAGTCACGGACAACACATACAAGTGAGGAAAATAACGCAAAGCAAAACTAAGACGTTATTAAACAAACTAAATGTACACGCAACTTAAATAAAGTAAATAATGCACGCGCCCAAAATTAAATTGCCCACGCACATGTACGAAGATACAACTGAAATAAAATTCCAAGTAATAAATAAGCAATGTAAGAATACGATGGTCAAATTAGAGCCTGGAATGCTAAGAATAACTACGGGAATCTTGGCAAGAATCCTGGTAAGAATTACTACTGGAATCTTGGTAAGATTTACTAGTTGAATCTTTGCAAAAACCTTGGTAAGATTTATTAAGGGCATCTTGACAAGAATCTTGGTAAGAATTAATACGGGAATCTTGGCAAGACACTTGGTAAGAATTACTACGGGAATCTTGGCAAGAATCATGGCAAGAATTACTACGGGAATCTTGGCAAGAATCCTGGTGAGAATTATTACGGGAATCTTGGCAGGAATCTTGGTAAGAATCTTGGTAAGAAATACTACTGAAATCTTGATAGGAACCTTGGCAAGAATTAGTAAGGGAATCTCGTTAAGAATTACCACGGGATTGTTGGCAAGAATCTTGGTGAGAATTACTACGGCAATCTTGGCAAGAATCTTGCTTAGAATCACTACGGGAATATTGGCAAGAATCCTGGTGAGAAATACTAAGGGAATCTTGGCAAGATTCTTGGTAAGAATTGCTACGGGAAACTTGGCAAGAATCCTAGTGAGAACCACTACGGAAAACTTGGCAAGAATTTTGGTAAGATTTAGTACGGGAATCTTGTTAAGAATTACCACGTTAATCTTGGCAAGAATCTTTGCAAGAATTACGATGGGAATCTTGGTAACATTTACTACGGGAATCTTGGTAAGAATCTTAGTAAGAATTACCGCGGGAATCTTAGCAAGAATCTAGGTAAGAAT